TATATATTTAGAGATTCTTGATAAAATCCAAAGAAGAATCAGCAATATTATTGGTCCTGACCTGGCATCTCGGCTTCAGTCACTTTCCTACCGCCGTAACGTAGCTTCTCTGTGCCTCTTCTATATGATGGTTATTGAGTGAGATTGAAGAATCTCCAAGGGCATCTCGGCTTCAAAAGGTGCTCCTGTCCTGTTATATTTAGAGATTCTTGATAAAATCCAAAGAAGAATCAGCAATATTATTGGTCCTGACCTGGCATCTCGGCTTCAGTCACTTTCCTACCGCCGTAACGTAGCTTCTCTGTGCCTCTTCTATATGATGGTTATTGAGTGAGATTGTAAGGGAAAGGTGCTCCTGTTATATATTTAGAGATTCTTGATAAAATCCAAAGAAGAATCAGCAATATTATTGGTCCTGACCTGGCATCTCGGCTTCAGTCACTTTCCTACCGCCGTAACGTGGCTTCTCTGTGCCTCTTCTATATGATGGTTATTGAGTGAGATTTTAAGGGAAAGGTGTGCTCCTGTTATATATTTAGAGATTCTTGATAAAATCCAAAGAAGAATCAGCAATATTATTGGTCCTGACCTGGCATCTCGGCTTCAGTCACTTTCCTACCGCCGTAACGTAGCTTCTCTGTGCCTCTTCTATATGATGGTTATTGAGTGAGATTTTAAGGGAAAGGTGCTCCTGTTATATATTTAGAGATTCTTGATAAAATCCAAAGAAGAATCAGCAATATTATTGGTCCTGACCTGGCATCTCGGCTTCAGTCACTTTCCTACCGCCGTAACGTAGCTTCTCTGTGCCTATTCTATATGATGGTTATTGAGTGAGATTTTAAGGAAAGGTGCTCCTGTTATATATTTAGAGATTCTTGATAAAATCCAAAAGAAGAATCAGCAATATTATTGGTCCTGACCTGGCATCTCGGCTTCAGTCACTTTCCTACCGCCGTAACGTAGCTTCTCTGTGCCTCTTCTATATGATGGTTATTGAGTGAGATTTTTAAGGAAAGGTGCTCCTGTTATATATTTAGAGATTCTTGATAAAATCCAAAGAAGAATCAGCAATATTATTGGTCCTGACCTGGCATCTCGGCTTCAGTCACTTTCCTACCGCCGTAACGTAGCTTCTCTGTGCCTCTTCTATATGATGGTTATTGAGTGAGATTGTTAAGGAAAGGTGCTCCTGTTATATATTTAGAGATTCTTGATAAAATCCAAAGAAGAATCAGCAATATTATTGGTCCTGACCTGGCATCTCGGCTTCAGTCACTTTCCTACCGCCGTAACGTAGCTTCTCTGTGCCTCTTCTATATGATGGTTATTGAGTGAGATTGTAAGGGAAAGGTGCTCCTGTTATATATTTAGAGATTCTTGATAAAATCCAAAGAAGAATTATCAATATTATTGGTTCTGACCTGGCATCTCGGCTTCAGTCACTTTCCTACCGCCGTAACGTAGCTTCTCAGTGCCTCTTCTATATGATGGTTATTGAGTGAGATTGTAAGGGAAAGGTGCTCCTGTTATATATTTAGAGATTCTTGATAAAATCCAAAGAAGAATCATCAATATTATTGGTCCTGACCTGGCATCTCGGCTTTCCTACCGTCACTTTCCTACCGCCCTTTTATATAATTCTTGATAAAAATCCAATGAAGAATCAGCAATACCTGGCATCTCTTCAGTGCCTATTCTATATGATGGTTATTGAGTGAGATTGTAAGGAAAGGTGTTCCTGTTATATATTTAGAGATTCTTGATAAAATCCAAAGAAGAATCAGCAATATTATTGGTCCTGACCTGGCATCTCGGCTTCAGTCACTTTCCTACCGCCGTAACGTAGCTTCTCTGTGCCTCTTCTATATGATGGTTATTGAGTGAGATTGTCAGGGAAAGGTGCTCCTGTTATATATTTAGAGTTTCTAGATAAAATCCAAAGAAGAATTAGCAATATTATTGATCCTGACCTGGCATCTCGGCTTCAGTCACTTTCCTACCGCCGTAACGTAGCTTCTCTGTGCCTCTTCTATATGATAGTTATTGAGTGAGATTTTAAGGGAAAACTGTTTCTGTTATATATTTAGAGATTCTTGATAAAATCCAAAGAAGAATTAGCAATATTATTGGTCCTGATCTGGTATCTCGGCTTCAGTCAATTTTTTCCGTCGCCGTAAGTTTGCCTTCGTCTATCTTTTCTATAAATACTTTTATGGCAACTGTTTGGATGAATTATTCGTTATAGTATATTGTAAATAGTTTTTCTTTTACTATTGTAATCCCTCCCCCTACAGACATTGAATTATATGTGGGCTAGTTAGAACTTCAGGGAACTTCTGAGGCATTATGGCGGATCAAGTAAGAATGGTAAGTAAGAATGCGTTGTTTTGTTGTAAGGTATATTGTTGTATGTTTGTGATAGTGTCTAGCTAATTTTAACGTTAAGACAGAACAAGACCGTCCTTTTCCCCCATTCCTCCTTTTGGCCTTGTGCCACATTTTGTATTTTTGCAAATAAATATCACTCTTAGCCATGGTACCTAGATTTTATGAATTTAAGCTGGCTAGATGTAACTGTAAATTCTATGCTAACAATTTATTTTCTCGCACTTCTCGCTTGTGGAACTCCCTTTCGGCTTCATGCTTTCCAGTCAACTTGAAACTTTAAAAATTTAAATTCAATGTCAATCGCTATCTATTGTCCTCCTGATTACTGTTTCTATTATTCTCGCTCTGAGAAGTTTTTTTCTGGAGAAGTTATAATTAACAAACCATTCCTTGCCTCAGTTAACAACGGAATGTAAATCATTTTTGATACAGGAAATCAAAAAGTAGACATAGTTCCTAATTGTTTATACTCGAGTGTGCACGTATCGACTCGGAAGGTCTCCAAATTTGATCGCTTCTTACCCCTGAATTCAGTGTATTTTAAGCTCTGATGACAGTGTATAAAATCTCTATATCACCAAGAGATTAAACCCCCAAAACTTTTGATCATGTATTATGTTGTTACACAAAGTCGTTCGTTTTTTATCATTTATTTTAATACTTTTTATTTTTTTAATAGTTCTGATGAATCATTCAGCAATTTATTCCCCTTCATTGTTTACGAACACCTGTCAACGACCCACAAACTGTTGAATGTCTCGACGATAAAACTCAATAGGTTTTGACTCGGAAAATTCATCAAGCTACGCTTTAAGATCCATATCGTTGTCGAACGAAACACCCCTGAAATTGTTAGAAAGCGACCGAAAATGATGGTAGTCTGAAGCAGGAGAATATGTTGGGTGCAGCAGAAATTACCAGCCAGTTCTTTAATTGCTCGTTTGGTTATGTTACTGTATCGTCGCTCTAGTCTTTTCAGCTGAATTCTTTCTATGATTCTGTTCATTGCTACAATAGGTAGCTTGGTAGATTTCAAACATTTCATCTCCGTATAGAGCACAAATGTATCGAGCAGCTTTGGTAGCTTTGTGACTTTGGTTTGGTTTGTTTTGTTTTATGGTACATCAACATCAATGGGTCATTTAATGCCGACAACTTTTTTTTTTCTGGTAATATTTTTGTTTTGTCAAAAATCTATTTCTCTTAATATTTTTTCCTCAAAAATGTATAGCTGGTAATATTATTTAAAAAAAATGTACAGCTGGTAATATTATTTTTTCAAAAACATATAGCTGGTAATACTATTTTTCCGAAACGTACAGCTGGTAATATTTTTTTCTAAAACATATAGCTGGTAATATTATTTTTCCAAAACGTATAGCCGGCAACACTATTCTTTCAAATAAAAAACAAAAAACAAAAAAAAACAAAAAAAAGACAAAACGTGTAGCTGGTAATATTTTTTCAAAAGCGTACAGCTGGCAACATTATTTTTTCAAAAACGTATTATCAGAGGCCTTGCTGTTGGACGTAGTTTATCGTCATACTCAGGACGCAGATATAGTTTATCGTCATACCCAGGACGCGGATGTAGTTTATCGTCATACCCAGGACGAGATCTGGGTTTGGGCGTGCTGTTGGACGTAGTTTATCGTCTTACCTAGGACGCGGATGTAGTTTATCGTTATACCCTGGACGCGGATATAGTTTATCGTCTTACCCAGGACCTGAATGTAGTTTATCATCATACCCAAGACGCGGATATAGTCTGGGTGTTAACTATTTGCCCATAGCTGGGACTCATATTTCCACTTCCACTCCGAGTCAGGGGGGAGCTGGGAACACCAGCAATTAAGAGGTGGTTCCACGCTCCTCAAAACCTCCTGATCAGAGGCCTTGCTGTTGGATGTAGTTTATCGTCTTACCAAGGGCGCGAATACAGTTTATCGTCTTACCCAGGGCGCGGATGCAGTTTATCGTTTGTGACTTTGATTAAAAGCAAAGAGGAAATTTCAAAAATGTTCATTCTTGTCTACCTGACAATGCATCCCAAAGGGGTGTCTAATCTGAAATAAAATTTCAGTAACGTTAGACAACCGTTTCACAGCATGATTAGAGTTACAAAAGCAAAAGATGCGACGAAAAATTTTTCTTCGGGATCATGCGCGTAATATCAGAAAAAAACGAACGAATATATGCAATAATCTAATAGGTTATTGTCATATCTGTAATATCTCTGTCTCAAAGAATTCTCAAAATTGTGTTCTAGAATATAGAAGAAAGGGACGGGCGCTGAAATCTGAGCATACTTGCCGTTATTTAACTATCAAGCATCTGATATGAAAGTGCAATTGATTGGGTGGGAAGGGTGATCCCTTGAGAACAATGCAAACGACTTAGACTTGTCTACTCAAACCAATGACATATGCAGAATTCGGAATCTATCTCAAAGGTGGAAAAACTCGACTGACCATGAAACACCCGCGAAACTCAAAAAACAAAACAAAAGAAAAACTTATGTTCTACCAAAGATATATTCACCCAAAGCCCAAAGAAGCATTTTTAGGTTCTAGAGTACAAATTTGCCGGGTTTTATCTCTCTCTTTTTCATGTACTCGCTTTTTCTCTGTCTCTCACTGTCTTTCTCTGTCTTTCTCTCTCTTTCTCTCTTTTTCTCTCTTTTTCTCTCTCTTTCTCCTTTTTCTCTTTCTTTCTCTCTCTTTCTCTCTCTTTCTCTCTTTTTCTCCTTTTTCTCTCTTTTTATCTCTCTTTCTCTCTTTTTCTCCTTTTTCTCTCTCTTTTTCTCTCTCTTTCTCTCTTTTTCTCCTTTTTCTCGCTTTTTCTCTCTCTTTCTCTCTCTTTCTCTCTCTCTTTTTCTCCCTTTTCTCTCTTTTTCTCTCTCTTTCTCTCTTTTTCTTTCACTTTCTCCTTTTTCTCTCTCTTTATTGCTCTTTCTCCCTCTTTCTCTCTTTTTCTCCTTTTTCTCTCTTTTTCTCTCTCTTTCTCCTTTTTCTCTCTCTTTCTCCTTTTTCTCTCTCTTTATCGCACTTTCTCTCTTTTTCTCCTTTTTCTATCTTTTTCTCTCTCTTTCTCTCTTTTTCTCTCTCTTTCTCCTTTTTCTCTCTCTTTCTCTCTCCTCTCCTTTTTCTCTCTCTTTCTCCTTTTTCTCTCTCTCTCTCCTTTTTCATTTATCCACCCTGTTCCTTTTTCTATATCTTCCACTTTTTTTCCTTATCTCTTTCTCTATATTTTTCTTTATCTCTCTCTTTTTTCGACCCTCTCTTTATATTTCCTCTTTCTCTCCCTCTCCGTCTCTTTCAATCACTTTCTCGCTTTCTTTCTCTATGTTTCTTTACCTTTTCCCCTCTCTTTCACACACCCACAAACTCACACATGCATACGTGTCCTCAAGCAATAATGCATACACTTTCGTATCAGTGATGCAATAAAAAAAAAACTCCTGGATTATACGATTCTTCTTCTTCTTTGTTTTTGATCCTTCGGGACCTTGGTGATCATGGCTCTCCACAATTTCCTGCTTTATTTTAATACTAGTTGTTCGGTGAGGGTTCTCGTGTATAAGTTCAATTTTTTTTTCACATTTTCTTTCTGTTTACTGTTGAATAGTATTTCTGAACGCTCATCTACTTAAACTGGCACTCGACCGGCCTTGAAACGCACGTGCAACTCAAAAACTGGTATTTGACCTAAAAATGTTCGCCAAAAGCCTAACTTAGCAACTCGATGCTCACTGCAGCAGTTTTACTGGTCTTTACGTAAAATCTGATCCAGGTACGTTGCTCGATGATTTTGGGGTGGGTGTGTGTAGTTCTTATTCCTCTTCAGAGGATGAAAGGGGTATTAAAGCCCCGCCGACCAGACAAGAAAAAATTGCTGTCAGTGATGCAATCGACGTCTTTTTTAGTCACGCCAAGCGTACCAGCTGACTGGGTGGGAAGGGTGATCCATTGGGAATTAGTTCCGAATTGAAATTAGTTCCGAGTTGAAATTAGTTCCGAGTTGAAATTAGTTCCGAATTGAAATTAGTTCCGAATTGAAATTAGTTCCGGGTTGAAATTAGTTCCGAGTTGAAATTAGTTCCGAATTGAAATTAGTTCCGAGTTGAAATTAGTTCCGAATTGAAATTAGTTCCGAATTGAAATTAGTTCCGGGTTGAAATTAGTTCCGAGTTGAAATTAGTTCCGAATTGAAATTAGTTCCGAGTTGAAATTATTTCTGTCCCTCTTATTTAATCTATGGGATTAGGGATATCGTCTAGGTGTTGTGTGTTCAATCCCTAGCTCAGGCAATGTGTATTTGCACTCAGTGGAAACATGTGAGCAATAACTGAGCTGTACAACATAAAAATAAGAACTAGACGATACACTGCCCGACACAGGGATTGAACTCACAAGAAATAGCCGATATCTCTAGACTTGAGTAATGGAACTAGGATAGTCTACCTCAATAGATTAAATAAAAGGTTCAATTCAGAGTTTCCTGTAGGTTCCCCAGATCGATAGACACCTGAGACGACCGGGGGAGGGGGTACAAATATTGAAACGTTGTAGTAAAATCAACAATGAAGAAAGTAGTCCAAATATAAATAGAGTAAATAAAAGATAGGAAGTTGTGGAGAGCTGACAGGGTGGGAAGGGCGATCCATTGGGAAAGATGCAAACGACTTAAACCAATGACATATACAACATCCTTAATCTAACTAATCGATGGAAAACCTCAGCTTCCATTGGAACTGGAAATTTAAATAGATCACCTAATCCAAACCAGATAATCGGATTTAATATTCGTTAAGAGCAAGAAGGTTTCTCAGTGTATATCCGCATAGACCATATAATAAAACTAAATAAAGTGAGAAGCTGGACCTTTCTAGGGAATCGAAAACTATGGAGGCTCGTAACGATCGTTATTAGAATTAGCTCAGTCTCGAAGAGATTAACTAAATGTTTGGAAGAACTTGACAATAGACTAGTGGACTAAAGAATTGGTTCGAGAATTTATTGATATAGTAATTGTGAGTTCAATCCCTGGGGTTGGTAGTATAGATTTAGGCTCAGGGTGAACCATGCAAACAGGAAATGAGTACTACTAAAGACCCTGACGGAATATCGCTAGACGTACACAGTGGTATGCTAGGATTCATTGATGAGGAAAGTAGGCTTGGAGAATTTGACTCTCACATGACATATCTAAGGTAAGAGGGAAATAGCAAGTAGCCTACCTAACAAGCTTGTGTAAATGGATGGCAGAACAGGGACTAGTAGAGATAGTAAGAAGGCGAATATTGCTTAGAGATACAAAAAGTAGGATGTTGTGGAGAGCCATGATCACTCTACTTGATGACCTTTTGTAAATGGATGGTAGAACAGGGTCTGAAAGGGGTAGTAAGAAGATAAATATTTCTTAATGTTACAAAGAATAGGAAGTTATGGAGAGTCATGATCAGCTTAACAAATGCATGGCAGATCAGAGACTAGGAAGGATAGTAAGGAGATGAATATTGTTTATAGCTACAAAGGATAGGAGGTTGTGGAGAACCATGATTAAACTAATTGATGACCTTGTGTAAATGGATGGCAGAACAGGGGCTGGGAGGGACAATTAAAAAAAAGACACCTTCGTTAATGCTACAAAGGATAGGAATTTTTGTCTGAATTCCTGGGATGAAGAGTTCTCATTATTTACACTATTTAAATTCGTAAATTTTTTCTCATCTTTGTTGTGTTTATCACAATATTTCAGCCGTCCTGCCTTCCGGCCTTCCGTAGGTGTATATCAGTCTAGGTAATTTACAGGGAATTCCGAACTGAACCCTTTATTTAAGAGGGTCAGAATTAATTTCAACCCGGAACTAATTTCAACTCGGAACTAATTTCAACCCGGAACTAATTTCAACTCGGAACTAATTTCAACTCAGAACTAAGGGTTAAGGTTGTGGAGATCCATGTTCAACCTACTTCATTAGCTTGTGTAAATGGATGTTAGAACAGGGACTGGAAGAGATAGTAAAGAGACATACATTGCTTAGAGATACAAAGGATAGGAGGTTGTGGAGATCCATGATCAACCTACTTCATTACCTTGTGTAAATGGATGTTAGAACAGGGACTGGAAGAGATAGTAAAGAGACATACATTGCTTAGAGATACCAAGGATAGGGTGTTGTGGAGATCCATGATCAACCTACTTGATGACCTTGATGACAGATATGATTGGGTTAGGGTTAGGGTTTTTAAATCGAGTTGAAATTAGTTCCGAGTTGAAATTAGTTCCGAATTGAAATTAGTTCCGAATTGAAATTAGTTCCGAGTTGAAATTAGTTCCGAATTGAAATTAGTTCCGAGTTGAAATTAGTTCCGAATTGAAATTAGTTCCGGGTTGAAATTAGTTCCGAGTTGAAATTAGTTCCGAATTGAAATTAGTTCCGGGTTGAAATTAGTTCCGAATTGAAATTAGTTCCGAGTTGAAATTATTTCTGTCACTTATTTAATCTATGGGATTAGACTGTTCTCGTTCCACTGTTTATGTCTAGGGATATCGTCTAGGTGTTGAGTGTTCAATCCCTAGCTCAGGCATGTGTACTTGCACTCAGTGGAAACAGGTGAGCAATAACTGAGCTGTACAACATAAAAATAAGAGTTAGACGATACACTGCCCGACACAGGGATTGAACTCACAAGAAATAGCCGATATCTCTAGACTTGAGTAATGGAGTTGGACAGTCTACCTCCATAGTTTAAATAAAATATTCAATTCAGAGTTCCCTGTAGGTTACCCAGATCGATATACACCTGAGGAAGACCGGGGGAGAGGGTACAAATATTGAAACGTTGTAGTAAAATCAATAACGAAAAAAATAGTCCAAATAAATAAAAGATAGGAAGTTGTGGAGAGCTAGGATCGTCCACGTTTTGAAGGAACACGGCTCGCAGGAAAGTGATCTAGTGCAAGTAAATGAAATCGAGGCTAGATTCCGTGGAAAACAGCTGTTGATTTTATTATGTCTTTTTTTTAACTGTGCACTTAGAGAGATAGATAGATAGATAGATAGATAGAGAGAGAGAGAGAGAGAGTCCGTATAATGATAGAACGATATCTTGTGTCTTTAATGCTGTGTAAAAGTTTTATTTTATTTTTAGTTTTCTCTATCATTTCCTTTCGTTTCGATGTCTCATCCCCCCCTTTTTTCTCCTTGTTTACTCAGCACGAGTTGTCAAGGGCGTTTTTTTCTCACCTCCTGTTGAACGGTATTGGGTTCCGGATAAATATTATTACAACTATTTCTCACGTGCACTGATGACGTGACACCTAATGCTTTTGACATGGGCATTTTAATAGAGAGTCGGCGTTGAAATTAATCTCGTAACGTATATTCTTTCTAAGCCAGTGTAGCAGTACTCTACTGTTGTCACTTAGTTTGTTTCCTCGATTCTAACAAACGTCTTCTTCATCAAGGAGTTGCGTGCATCAAAACGCAAAGCAAACGTTAGAGTCACTGTTTTTTTTTTCAGTTAAGAATAAGTACCAAACCAGGCTTTGGTCAGCGGCACAGGAAGGAAGACATTCAGAAACGCGCTGCAAAAAAAAAGAAAAGAAAAAAGGACCCCCTCCTACTGTGGGAACAACCACCGCAGATAAGCAACAGGGGAATCGACGGGATGGGGTGGTATTTCTGCTATATAGATGAACGGCTGCACTTTCAATGAACTTTCTTTGAACGTCGATGGTACTCAAGTTCCTCTCAGATCTCAAGTGAAACATAACATGCCAGTTGTAACAGCAAAATTGTCCATCTGTTAGATTAAGATTTGAACCGTTGTATCTTAGAAATGATTAAAGATATCTTACTGAAATTCTCCAAGGTTTTTATGCCACAATATGTCTCTAGTTTGAGTAATAAGAATGTATAATTACTCTCCAAGCTTAACTGAAGAATAATGATGAAATCGATCATAAGCGAAAATGACATGTTCATCATTAATTAATCACAGCTAAGGATCGTAAGCTCATGAAGGATTGAAATAAAGTTCATATATATATATATATATATATATATATATTATTCTAGAATCATTTTCAAACTTATTCAAGATGATCTTCGCCCTCTCTAACCTTCTAACTTTCTGTCCTGGAGTAACAATGTGTATCACAGGTTCCATTTTCAAGTCTTTCCCATGCTCTTTGGAGTGTCATAGCTGAATCTCCGCTCTCACGTGCCACACGTCTTGTGAATTGAGTTGGATCTTTTCTAATTGATCTCTTTACCTCTAAGGTGAAATGATGATCTCTCTTTCTGGTGTGATCGCTTGATCTAGTATTTCTTCTCTACTGTTTCCTCCTTTTTAGACTTATTCACCGCTCACTTGAGGGTTCTTGAAAGGACTTTGAAGATGGAAGCCAGAGTATGAATGTTGATACCATTAATATAGGCCCGAATGATCTTTTTCCCCTCAACAATGATCCATTGGGAAGACAGTGGGTCTGACACAAAACGATTTTAACCAGTTATCTTTCTAGATGAATAACTCAAAGGGGTTTTCAGTGATTCTTACGACAAATGGTGTCAAGATGGCTAAACGTCTTATCTGAAAACTTGGGAAAAAGAAGCCCAGTTTAATGTTTTTGCTTAGATATTAAACATTTTCTTTTCTCATGGTATGTCTTGAAAAACACGATATAAATTTCACTATTTTTTTATCCATAATATTGAATGTATTAAAATTTTTCAACTTTTTAATAAGATAAATCTCAAGTTGATGTCAAAAATTGCTGCAAAACCTTGTTTATTTAAGATGCCGTGATCTATTATGACAAGTCTCTAATTATGCATATGATAGAGTGTATCACAAAAATGAGTACACCCCCTCCATGCCCAGGAGAGTAAAGGCAGTTTTGGATAATGATGGTGGCCACACAAAATTGACAGTTGACATGTTAATATTGACAACTTTTCCTAAGGGGTGTACTCACTTTTGCTGTCAGGGATTTAGCTTTTAATGGCTATATTTTGAATTATTTTGGGGGGAAAAGAAATTAACTCTGTTATATATGCTGCAGACAGGGTACTTTTCATTGTGTCAAAAGGTAATTTTTTCAGTGCTGTCCCATGAAGAGATATACTTAAATATTTGAAGAAATGTGAGGGGTGTACTCACTTTTGTGATACAATGTATATTGCATATGATCCATTATTGTACATAATTAGGCTGCATTAAAATTTCCATTTTACATGAATACTACCTTATGAAAATTGAAATGCAGTATAAAGTGTATGTGTGTGTAGGGGGTCAGTATCTTAGATTCGAGAGGGGGGTCATGTGATCTTGGCGATGGCTCTTGATACATTACTAAGGGTGATGGAAAAAGTGTCTGGTCTTTGTACTGTTCCAGAAAATTGTCCAGATTGCCGAAAAATCGTTTTCTGCGAGAATCCAGAAGGGAAAAGGGAAGGGGAGAAAAGGGGAGGGGGAACATTTGGGTAGATGTGCTGATTAGGAAAAAAAAATGACAAATTTCTTTCTGAGATAAATCACAGAAATAGAACGGAGGAACAGATGCGATGACAAAAATGAAATTCCTTCCAATTTCCAAATCTTCTCCTGCAGCCGTCATCTACCCCCTCTCACTCTATTTAAGTCTGTTCATATCTATCTATCTATCTATCTATCTATCTATCTATCTATCTATCTATCTATCTCAGTCTGTTCACATCTATCTATCTATCTATCTATCTATCTATCTATCTATCTATCTATCTATCTATCTAATTGAGTTTGTTCGCATCTATCTATCTATCTATCTATCTATCTATCTATCTATCTATCTATCTATCTATGTCTGCTCAAATCTATGACAGTCTGCTCAAATCTATGACAGTCTGCTCATATCTATCTATCTATCTATCTATCTATCTATCTATCTATCTATCTATCTAAGTCAGTCTACTTCTTTTTATCTATCTATCTATCTATCTATCTATCTATCTATCTAAGTCTGCTTCTATCTATCTATCTATCTATCTATCTATCTATCTATCTATCTATCTAAGTCAGTCTACTTCTTTTTATCTATCTATCTATCTATCTATCTATCTATCTATCTATCTCAGTCTGTTCACATCTATCTATCTATCTATCTATCTATCTATCTATCTATCTATCTATCTATCTAAGTCAGTCTACTTCTTTTTATCTATCTATCTATCTATCTATCTATCTATCTATCTATCTATCTATCTATCTATCTATCTCAGTCTGTTCACATCTATCTATCTATCTATCTATCTATCTATCTATCTATCTATCTATCTATGTCTGCTCAAATCTATGACAGTCTGCTCAAATCTATGACAGTCTGCTCATATCTATCTATCTATCTATCTATCTATCTATCTATCTATCTATCTATCTATCTATGTCTGCTCAAATCTATGACAGTCTGCTCATATCTATCTATCTATCTATCTATCTATCTATCTATCTATCTATCTATCTATCTATCTAAGTCAGTCTACTTCTTTTTATCTATCTATCTATCTATCTATCTATCTATCTATCTATCTATCTATCTATCTATCTATCTATCTATCTAAGTCTGCTTCTATCTATCTATCTATCTATCTATCTATCTATCTAAGTCAGTCTACTTCTTTTTATCTATCTATCTATCTATCTATCTATCTATCTATCTATCTATCTATCTCAGTCTGTTCACATCTATCTATCTATCTATCTATCTATCTATCTATCTATCTATCTATCTATGTCTGCTCAAATCTATGACAGTCTGCTCAAATCTATGACAGTCTGCTCATATCTATCTATCTATCTATCTATCTATCTATCTATCTATCTATCTAAGTCAGTCTACTTCTTTTTATCTATCTATCTATCTATCTATCTAAGTCTGCTTCTCTCCTATCCTATCTATGTATCTATCTATCCTTTTCGGACAGGAGAAAAAGTTAAATTGTGTTCAACGAAACGAATATTCACGAAAAGCCTGAAGAATCATTTTTAGGCTTTAAAAGTGCAAATTTGCCGGGCTTTATCTCCTTCTCTCTCATGCTCTCGCTTTTTACTCTTTCCTTCTCGCTCACTCTCTCTCTCTCTCTCTCTTTCTCTCTTTCCCTATCTTCTTTCTTATTCATCTACCATTTTCTCTTTTCTAAATCTTTTTTTTTTTTACCTCTTTCCTTTTTCGTCCTCTTCCTTTCGCCAATCTCTTTATTTTTTTCTCTTTCTCTCTCTTTTTTCTTTCAACCGCTTACCATTTTCCCCTCTCTCTTTTACACACACACACACACACACAATAAAAAATTTCACGGATGTTACGATTCTTCTTCTTTTTCTTCAGTTTCTTCTACTTTTTCTTCTGTTTCTTCCTCTATTTCTTCTTTTTCTCCTTCCTCTTCATTTTTATTCTTTTTCTTTTTTTCTTTTCCTCCTTCTACTTCTTTTCCTCCGCCTCCTTCTTTTTCATTTTCTTCTTCTATTTCTGCTTCTTCTTCTCCTATTTCTTCTTTTTCTCCTTCTTCTTTTATTTGTTTTTCCTTCTTCTTTTTCTTCTTCTTCATTTTCTTCTTCCATTTTTCTTCTATTTCTTCTTCTTCATTTTCTTCTTCTTCTGTTCCTTCTTCTATTTCGTATTCTTTTCCTCTTTTTCTGCTTTTCTTCCTCTGTTTCTTCTATTTCTTCTTCTTTTTCTCCTTGTTCTTCTTCTTTCTTCTTCTTTTTCTCCTTCTATTTCTTCTTCTTTTTCTCCTTGTTCTTCTTCTTTCTTCTACTTTTTCTTCTGTTTCTTCTTTTATTTCTTCGTTTCTCTTCTTTTTTTTTCTTCTTTTTCTTCTTTTATTTCTTCGTTTCTTTTTCTTCTTTTCTTTTTCTTCTTTTTCTTCTTTTATTTCTTCGTTTCTCTTTCTTCTTTTCTTATTTTTCTTCTTCTATTTCTTCGTTTCTCTTTCTTCTTTTCTTTTTCTTCTTTTTCTTCTTCTATTTCTTCGTTTCTCTTTCTTCTTTTCTTTTTCTTCTTTTTCTTCTTCTATTTCTTCGTTTCTCTTTCTTCTTTTCTTTTTCTTCTTTTTCTTCTTTTATTTCTTCGTTTCTCTTTCTTCTTTTCTTTTTCTTCTTTTTCTTCTTCTATTTCTTCGTTTCTCTTTCTTCTTTTCTTTTTCTTCTTCTATTTCTTCGTTTCTCTTTCTTCTTTTCTTTTTCTTCTTTTTCTTCTTCTATTTCTTCGTTTCTCTTTCTTCTTTTTCTACTTCTTTTCTTCTTCTTTATTTCTTCGTTTCTCTTTCTTCTTTTCTTTTCTTCTTTTCTTCTTTTATTTCTTCGTTTCTCTTTCTTCTTTTCTTTTTCTTCTTTTTTCTTCTTCTTTTCTTTTCTTTTCTTCTTTTCTTTTTCTTCTTTTATTTCTTCTTTCTTTTCTTCTTTTCTTTTTTATTCTTCTATTTCTTCGTTTCTCTTTCTTCTTTTCTTTTTTCTTCTTTTTTTCTTCTTCTTTCTTTTCTTTCTTCTTTTCTTTTCTTCTTTTCTTCTATTTCTTCGTTTCTCTTCTTTTTTTTCTTTTTTCTTCTTTTATTTTCTTCTTCTTTTCTTCTTTTCTTTTCTTCTTTTTTCTTCTTCTTCTTCTTCGTTTCTCTTTCTTCTTTTCTTTTTTCTTTTTTCTTCTTCTATTTCTTCGTTTCTCTTTCTTCTTTTTTTTCTTCTTTTTCTTCTTCTTCTTCGTTTCTCTTTCTTCCATTTCTTCTTTTTTCTTCGTTTCTCTTTCTTCTTTTCTTTTTCTTCTTTTTCTTCTTTTATTTCTTCGTTTCTCTTTCTTCTTTTCTTTTTCTTCTTTTTCTTCTTCTATTTCTTCGTTTCTCTTTCTTCTTTTCTTTTTCTTCTTTTTCTTCTTCTATTTCTTCGTTTCTCTTTCTTCTTTTCTTTTTCTTCTTTTTCTTCTTCTATTTCTTCTTTTCTTTTTCTTCTTTTTCTTCCTTTATTTCTTCGTTTCTCTTTCTTCTTTTCTTTTTCTTCTTTTATTTCTTCGTTTCTCCTTCTTCTTTTCTTTTTCTTCTTTTCTTCTTTTATTTCTTCGTTTCTCTTTCTTCTTTTCTTTTTCTTCTTTTTCTTCTTCTATTTCTTCGTTTCTCTTTCTTCTTTTCTTTTTCTTCTTCTTTTCTTCTTTCTTTTCTTCTTTCTTTTATTTTTTCTTCTTTTCTTTGTTTCTCTTTTCTTTTCTTTTCTCTTTTCTTCTTCTATTTCTTCGTTTCTCTTTCTTCTTTTCTTTTTTTTTCTTCTTCTATTTCTTCATTTCTCTTTCTTCTTTTCTTTTTCTTCTTTTTCTTCTTCTATTTCTTTGTTTCTCTTTCTTCTTTTCTTTTTCTTCTTTTTCTTCTTCTATTTCTTCGTTTCTCTTTCTTCTTTTCTTTTTTCTTCTTCTATTTCTTCTTTCTCTTTCTTCTTTTCTTTTCTTCTTTTCTTCTTCTATTTCTTCTTTTCTCTTTCTTCTTTTTCTACTTTTTTCTTCTTCTTTTCTTCGTTTCTCTTTCTTCTTTTCTTTCTTCTTTTTCTTCTTTTTCTTCTTCTTTTTCGTTTCTCTTCCTTCTTTTCTTTTCTTCTTTTTTCTTCTTTTTATTTCTTCGTTTCTCTTTCTTCTTTTTCTTTCTTCTTTTATTTCTTCGTTTCTCTTTTCTTCTTTTCTTTTCTTCTTTTCTTCTTCTTTTCTTCGTTTCTCTTTCTTCTTTTCTTTTTCTTTTTTTTTCTTTCTTCGTTTCTCTTCTTCTTTCTTTTCTTCTTTTTTCTTCTTTTATTTCTTCGTTTTCTTTCTTCTTTTCTTTTCTTCTTTTCTTCTTCTATTTTTCGTTTCTCTTTCTTCTTTTCTTTTTTTCTTCTTTTTCTTCGTTTCTCTTTCTTCTTTTCTTTTCTTCTTTTCTTCTTTTTTTCTTCGTTTCTCTTTCTTCTTTTCTTTTTTCTTCTTTTATTTCTTCGTTTCTCTTTCTTCTTTTCTTTTCTTCTTTCTCTTCTTTTTTTCTTCGTTTCTCTTTTCTTCTTTTCTTTTCTTCTTTTCTTCTTCTATTTCTTCGTTTCTCTTTCTTCTTTCTTTTCTTCTTCTTCTTCTTCGTTTTCTCTTTCTTCTTTTCTTTTTCTTCTTTTTCTTCTTCGTTTCTTTTCTTCTTTTCTTTTTCTTCTTTTTCTTCTTTTTCTTCGTTTCTTTTTCTTCTTTTTTTTCTTCTTTTTTCTTCTTCTATTTCTTCGTTTCTCTTTCTTCTTTCTTTTCTTCTTCTATTTTTTGTTTCTTTTCTTCTTTTCTTTTTTCTTCTATTTCTTCTTTCTCTTTCTTCTTTTCTTTTTCTTCTTCTATTTCTTCGTTTCTCTTTCTTCTTTTTTTCTTCTTTTTCTTCTTCTATTTCTTCGTTCTTTTTCTTCTTTTCTTTTTCTTCTTCTTTTCTTCGTTTCTTTTTCTTCTTTTCTTTTCTTCTTTTCTTCTTCTATTTCTTCGTTTCTCTTTCTTCTTTTCTTTTCTTCTTTTTGTTTTTCTATTTCTTCGTTTCTCTATCTTCTTTTCTTCTTTTCTTCTTTTCTCTTCTTCTCTTTCTTTTCTTCTTTCTTTTCTTCTTTTTCTTTTTTCTTTTCTTCTTCTTCTTCGTTTCTTTTTTCTTCTTTTCTTTTCTCTTCTTCCTTTCTTCTTCTAAAATTCATTTTTTTTCTTCTTTTCTTCTTCTTTTTCTTCTTTTTCTTCTCTTCTTTTTCTTCTTCTTCTTCTTCTCTCTTCTTCTTTTCTTCTTTTCTTCTTTTATTTTATTCTTCTTCTTTTCTTTCTTCATTTCTCTTTCTTCTTTCTTTTTCTTCTTCTATTTCTTCTTTTCTTTGGTTTCTTCTTCTTTTTCTTCTTTTTCTTCGTTTCTCTTTCTTCTCTTTCTTTTCTTCTTCTAAATCTTCTTCTTCTTCTTCTTTTTTTTCTTCTTTTCTTTCTTTTTCTTCGTCTTCTCTTCTTTTCTTCTTCTTCTTTTTCTTCTTTAATTCTTCGTTTCTTCTTCTTTTCTTTTCTTTTTTTTCTCTTCTTTTCTTCTTTCTCTTTCTTTTTTCTTCTTTTTTTCTTCTTCTTTTCTTCATTTCTCTTTCTTCTTTTTTTTCTTCTTTTTTCTTCTTTTCTTTGTTTCTCTTTCTTCTTTTCTTTTTTCTTTTTCTTCTCTCTTTCTTCGTTTTTTCTTCTTTTCTTTTCTTCTTTTCTTCTTTTATTTCTTCGTTTCTCTTTCTTCTTTTTTTTTTTTTTTTTTCTTCTTTTTCTTCTTTTCTCTTTCTTCTTTTCTTTTTATTCTTTTTTTCTTCTTTTCTTCGTTTCTCTTTTCTTCTTTTTCTTTTTCTTCTTCTTTTCTTCTTTTTTTCTTCTTTTCTTTTTCTTTTTCTTCTTTTTTCTTTTTTCTCTTTTCTTTTCTTCTTTTTCTTCATTTCTTCTTTTCTTCTTTTCTTTTTTTCTTTCTTCTTTTTTTCTTCGTTCTCTTTCTTCTTTTCTCTTTCTTCTTTTTCTTCTTCTTTTTTTCTTCGTCTTCTCTTTCTTAGACTTCTTTCTTCTTTTCTTCTTCTTTTTTTCTTCTTTTCTTTTCTTCTTTTTCTTCTTTCTTCTTTTCTTTTCTTCTTTTTCTTCTTCTTCTTTCTTTTTCTTTTTCTTCTTTTTATTTTTCTTCTTTTTCTTCTTCTATTTCTTCGTTTCTCTTTCTTCTGTTCATTTTCTTCTTTTCTTCTTCTATTTCTTCTTTCTTTTTCTTCATTTTCTTTTCTTTTCTTTTTCTTCTTTTTTTTTCTTCGTTTCTCTCTTCTTCTTTTCTTTCTTCTTTTTCTCTTCTTTCTTCGTTTCTCTTTCTTCTTTTCTTTTTCTTCTTTTTCTTCCTAAAATTTCTCGTTTTTCTTCTTTTCTTTCTTCTTTTCTTCTTTTCTTCTTTTTCTTCTTTCTTTCTTCTTCTTTTCTTTTCTTCTTTTTCTTCTTTTCTTCTTTCTCTTTTCTTTTTTTTTTTTTCTTTTTCTTTTCTTCTTTTCTTCTTCTTTTTCTTCTTTTCTCTTTCTTCTTTTTTTTTCTTTCTCTTTCTTCTTTTCTTTTCTTCTTTTCTTCTTTTTCTCTTTTTTTTCTCTTCTTCTTCTCTTCTTTTATTTCTTTTTCTTTCTTCTCTTCTTCTTTCTTTTTTTCTTTCTTCTTTTCTCTTCTTTTCTTTTCTTCTTCTTCTTCTTTCTTCTTCTTCTTCTTCTTTTTCTTTCTTCTTCTTTCTTTCTTCTGTTTTTCTTTCTTCTTTTCTTTTTCTTCTTTTTCTCTTCATTTCTTCATTTCTCTTCTTCTTTTCTTTTCTTCTTTCTTCTTCATTCTTCGTTTCTCTTTCTTCTTTTCTTTTTTTTTTTCTTCTTCTATTTCTCATTTCTTTTTCTTTTTTCTTTTCTTCTTCTTCTTTTCTTCTTTTCTCTTTCTTCTTTTCTTTTTTCTTCTTCTTCTTCTTTCTTCTTTTTTCTTTCTTCTTTTCTTTTCTTCTTTTTTTCTTCATTTCTTCGTTTCTTCTTTCTTCTTTTCTTTTTCTTCTTTTTCTTCTTCTTATTTCTTCGTTTTCTTTTTCTTTTCTTTTCGTAGCTTCTTTTTTTTCTTCTTCTTTTCTTCTTTCTCTTTCTTCTTCTTTTTCTTTCTCTTCTTCTTCTTTTCTTCTTTTTCTTCTTTCTTCTTCTTCTTTTTCTTCTTTTTTTTCTTTTTCTCTTCTCTTTCTTCTTTTTTTTCTTCTTTTTCTTCTTCTTTTCTTCTTTTCTTCTTCTTTTCTTTTTCTTCTTCTTTTTTCTTCTTTCTCTTCTTTTTCTTTTTATTTCTTCTTTTTTTCTTTCTTTTTTTCTTCTTTTCTTCGTTTCTTTCCTTTTCTCTTTTTTTCTTTTTCTTCTTCTTTTTCTTCTTTTCTTCTTCTTTTCTTCTTTCTTTTCTTCGTCTTCTTCTTTTTTCTTCTTCTTTTTTTCTTCTTCTCTTTCTTCTTTTATTATTTTCTTTCTTCTTTTTCTTCTTTTTTTCTTCGTTTCTCTTTCTTCTTTTCTTTTCTCTTCTTCTTTCTTCTTCTTTTTTCTTCTTCTTTTCTTCTTTTCTTCTTCTCTTCTTCTTTCTTCGTTCTTATTTTCTTCTTCTTCATTTTTCTTTTAATTTCTTCGTTTCTCATTCTTCTTTTCTTTTCTTCTTCTTCTTCTTTTTCTTCTTCGCTTTCTTCTTTCTTCTTTTCTTTTCTTCTTTTCTTCTTTTCTTCTTTTTCTTCTTCTTCTTTTATTTTTCTTCTTTTTAGACTTTTCTTCTTTTTCTTTTTCTTTTTTTTTCTTTCTTCTTCTTTCTTCTTTCTTTTTCTTCTTTCTTTTCTTCTTCTTCTTCTTTTCTTCTTTTCTTTCTTCTTTTTTCTTTTCTTCTTTTTCTTTTTCTTCTTTTCTTCTTTCTCTTCTTCGTTTCTCTTTCTTCTTTTCTTTTCTTTTTCTTCTTTTCTTCTTTCTCTCTTCTTTTCTTCTTCTTCTTTTCTTCTTCTTTTCTTCTTTTTTCTTCTTTTTTTCTTCTTTTTTCTTCTTCTTTTTCTTCTTTTTCTTTTCTTCTTCTTCTTTTTCTTCTTTTTTCTTCTTTTTTTTCTTTTTCTTTTTCTTCTTTTTTTCTTCTTCTTTTCTTCTTTTCTTTCTTCTTCTTCTTTATTCTTTTTTTCTTCTTCTTTTTTCTTCTTCTCTTCTTTTTCTTCTTTCTTTTCTTCTTTTTCTTCTTCTATTTTCTTTTCTTTTCTTCTTTTTTTTCTTCTTTTTTTCTTCTTCGTTTTTTCTTTCTCTTTCTTCTTTTCTTTTCTTTTTTTTTTCTTTTTTTTTTCTCTTTCTTCTTTTCTTTTTTCTTCTTTCTCTTTTTCTTCGTTTTCTTTTTTTCTCTCTTCTTTCTTTTCTTCTTCTATTTCTTCTTTCTTTTCTTCTTTTCTTTTCTTCTTTTTCTTCTTCTTCTTCTTCTTTTCTCTTTCTTCTTTTCTTTTTTTCTTTTCTTTTTTTTTTCTTCTTTTCTCTTTCTTCTTTTCTCTTCTTCTTTTTTTTCCTTCTTTTCTTCTTTTTCTTCTTTTCTTTTCTTCTTTTTTTTTAATTCGTTTCTCTTTCTTCTTTTTCTTTTCTTCTTTTTTTCTTCTATTTCTTCGTTTCTCTTTCTTCTTTTCTTTTCTTTTTCTTCTATTTCTTCTTTTCTCTCTTTCTTTTTTTCTTCTTTTCTTCTTCTTTTCTTTTCTTTTTTCTTTTTTTTCTTCTTCTTTCTTCTTCTTCTTCTTCTTCTTTCTTCTTTTTCTTCTTCTTTTTCTTCTTCTATTTCTTCTTTCTCTTTCTTTTTTCTTTTTTCTTTTTTTCTTCTTTTTTCTTCGTTTCTCTTTCTTCTTTTTTTTTTTTCTTCTTCTTGGTTCTTCGTTTCTCTTTTCTTCTTTTCTTTTTTCTTTTTTATTCTTCTCATTTCTTCGTTTCTTTTCTTCTTTTCTTTTCTTCTTTTCTTCTTCTTCTTTCTTCTTTTCTCTTTTTCTTCTTTTCTTTTCTTCTTTTCTTCTTCTTTTCTTCGTTTCTCTTTTTCTTCTTTTCTTTTTCTTCTTTTTCTTCTTCTATTTTTTCTTTCTCTTTCTTCTTTTCTTTTTTCTTCATTTCTTCTTTCTTTTCTTCGTTTTCTTCTTTCTTCTTTTCTTTTCTTCTTTTTTCTTCTTCTTTTCTTCGTTTCTTTTTATTCTTTTCTTTTTCTTCTTTTTTCGTTTCTCTTTCTTTTCTTTTCTTCTTTTCTTCTTCTTTTCTTCTTTCTCTTTTCTTTTCTTTTTCTTCTTCTTCTATTTCTTCGTTTCTCTTTCTTCTTTTCTTTTTTCTTTTTCTTCTTTTTTCTTCTTTTTCTTCTCCTACTTCTATTCCTTCTTTTTCTTCTTCTCCTTTCATTTTTTCTTCCTCTATTTCTTCTTCTTCTTCTTCTTCTTCTTCTTCTTCTTCTTCTTCTTCTTTATACCTTGTCCCTTCACTTTTTTGCCCTTTATATACGCATTGTTTGGCGACGGTACTCGGGTATGACTTCAGCTTTTTGGGGGTTTTTTTCTTCACATTTTCTTAGTGTTGATGAATGCTTTCCCTGAACGTTCACCAACTTAAACCAGCACTCGGCCGGCCTTGAAACGCGTGTATATCTCAAAAACCTCTAGTCAGTCTAAAAAATGATCACCAAAAGTTTAACGTAGCATCTCGAGGCTCACTGTAGCCAGTTTACTGATCTTCACGTAAAATCTGATCGAGGCACATTGCTCGATGTTTTGCGGAGGTGAGGGAGTTCTCACCCCTCTGCAGAGGATGTAATCGGCGTATTAAAACCCCGCCGACCGAACATCGAAAAATTGCTTTCAGTGATGCAACTTATGTATTTATTTAGTCGCGTTTACGCAAAGTCGTTCAATAAAGAACGCCACCAAGATCTGTTTGAACCTTCCAGCAACATTGACATATTCGGGAAGGCTCTTAAATTAATCCTGAACATATACTAGCATGAAACCGCTTGTATACAGATAAAAAAAAATGAATTCAAAAGATATACAAAGCAGAAAAGGGTGTAAGTCAATACGGAGGGAAGGAAATTGAATCTGATATGTTTGTTTAATGGCCTATCAAAATCTTACGGGTCATTTAATATCGAAATATAATTTTCTTTGGTACTTTGATTTGATTTGATTGTTCAACGACATATCAACATCTTATGGGTCATATAATTCCGGAATTTAATTGTCTTTGGCGATATGAAATAATAAAAATATGATATATATTATTCTGCTTTCACAATTGAATACGTGGTAGATGATACTCAGATTTTGTGCCACATGTGTGGCCATAATTACTAGAGGCAGTGATATGTGTATTTTATGCTGTAGTTTTGTTTAAGTTATATTTTGGAATACAGTTTGATTTCTCAGTGGCGCTTTCGAGAGAATTACATGTCCTACCAGGATTGATTCATTATTAGCAGCCACAATCTTAACAAGATAAAGTAAACAGATGATAGCAGATCCGGAAAGAAAACTACAGAAGCGTCTACAGAAGGTAGCGAAGGAAAGCGAGAAGAAAGGACTAAACATCAACTGCAAGAAAACACAATGCATGGTTGTTAGTAAATGGATGAGCCCAAAATACAAATTACCAAAATCAAACACGTACAAAAATTTAATTATCTGGGAAATGTTTTAAAAGAGGACGGAAAGTGCAACATCGAAATCCGAAGTCGCATTGAGATAGCCAAAGATGCCTTCCAAAAGCTAAACCGAATATTAAGAAACAGGAAAACTTCGTAACAAAGAAAAGAGTACTGAACTGTTACGTGACATCTGTCCTCCTGCATGGCAGTGAATGCTGGACAATCTTCTCAAAGATGAAGAAAAGACTTGAAGAAACAGTTTCTACAGAAGGATGATGAGGATAACATGGATCGAATATGTGAGTAACGACGAAGTCTTAGGGAAAATTGAAGCGAAAAGGGGACTTATTCTTGACATCGGGAAGAGACAGTTGAAATTTCTAGGACACATAATAAGGAAAGAGGGCTTGGAAAAACTGATACTCACAGGGCGGACTGAAGGCAAGGGTGGTGAAAACAGCGCCTGACATACTTAGGGAGCTTAAATAAATGGATGGCGGAACAGAGTTTAGGAGAAATTACAGAAAGACAATATTTATTAAGAGCTACAAAGGACAAGAAATTGTGGAGAGCCATGACCGACTACGGCCTGAGGAGACACAGCACATAAAGAAGAAAGTAAATAAATACTTCTCTTCGCGACGCATACGTGGCAGATGCTATTCAGTGTAAATAACTAGATTTTGCTGAGTCAGGCGCAGTTTTGACCGCCAGTATTTGTTAAGCATTTAATAAAGGGTCCATTAATTGCCCACTCTGAGCCGTGATTGTCTATGAGCCGTCTGGACTCTCGTATTGATCAATTCGTCTCATCATCGCCGTAAATATGACTTGAAAACATTCTGTACGATTTACAGCTCACTTGAATCGGCGCCCAGAAAATAGGAACGCAATAATTCGTGTGATTACATTTAGTAAATGATTTTCGATGATTAGTCTCCTGCTGTCGAAGACGATGCCACATGCAACTTTTCGGGCGAATTACAGCCTTGTGGGGGGAGAAAAAAAAAAGAATCCCCGATGTCTCTTCCGAAAATATGGCGAGGTGTGGCGGAGTTTAGTCTAGTAATGACTCGATTTGGCGAATCAAGCTGCTCATCGAATGAAATCTTAATAGAGCCGATTACAAAATGTGATGACTGTAAGATGCAATCAGTTTATTCCATGGTTCAACTCCCACTTAACATAAACCCCTCCTATCCGGCTTAATGAGCAGTTGTCTACATAACTGTTAATTAGTGCAATTTGCAAATTTCAAGCAGTATCTCACGTCGTCGATGTTCTGGTAGAATACGGGCTATCGGCGCAGAAACTCGAATTGGTGATCCGGGTTCAAATTTTCGATTTCTCTGTTGGAATTCATTTTCGTACTATTTCCTTTGGGAAAAGACACGAAAAAATTAGCAGATAGCACTCACAGTTCTATAGACAGGTGTCGGGGGGTTCCATTCATCTACCCCTCTCGCTGAAATTTAGCCTTTTGGCCTCAGTCTATGACCACATCATGCTGAAACATTGGCTTCCGTACGGTCACCGAATTTAAGCAACGACGAACCTGGCCAGTACCGAGATAGGTGACCACTTGGGAATACCAATGTGCTGTCACCTTGAATGTGCGGGTGGTGTAATTGATAATGGCTCGGAATTGTTAATCGGAGAGCAGAGTTCCAATTCAAATTGGGTTGGTTATATTAACTTACGCGAAAATACTCTTGGGAAAGGCATGAATCCACCTCTTCTCCCCTACCTATTGGTTAATTAGTAAAACTTGTCTCACTAAATTATTATTATCTCCAAAAAACAAATCAAGTCTTAAAATCTAAAAATATTTTCTGGCTTTACATTGCCAACAAATAGTTGATAAAACGTAGAAAACGAATCAATCAATGAATCTATGACAATGCTTTTTATTTACGATTTTTTCTTATTCAATACAAGGCCCAAGAGCCACTCAAGATAGAGGGTTACTAAATGAGGTTGTTGTATGAAGGTATGAAATGGACGAAGTCCGACAATTATTTTACGACATTTTTATGTTTATACATTCTTTTTATAGATACAAATATATAAGTAAATGCTCTGTTTTATAATAAACAGTAGTAAACAACATTTACCGGCCTGAATGTCCGAGAAATTTTCACAGAAAATATTTGTCCATTTCATAATGTGTGACATCATTTATTTGCATTTGAAACGTCATGAGCATATAGGAATGTATGTGAGAGATTCATAGAAGATTGAAGTTTAAATACAGTAAATTCAACCTTGTTAACCGAACGCTCCTCTGTGGCCAAATCAGTTAAGGCATGTCAAGCTAATTGACGGTATAGGATGAAGGTTCAAATCCTTTGTCTCGCTGTTGTGTACATTAAGATATTCGTCCCAATCGAAAATGGATTAATCGTATATAGTAACTTATAGGAAATGATGCAATTTGTACCACAAATTTTCGTCCCATTCACAATTAATTTCTAATTTTCGTACTTTTTAATTAAAATACAGTCACATATGTAATATACTTAATATATTACATGTAAAATATATAATATATATTATATGTAATATATATGTAATATATATATTATATGTAATATAAATGTAATATATTACATGAAATATATATATAATATATTATATGTAATATATATAATATATTATATGCAATATATATAATATATTATATGTAATAACAATGTAAAATATTACATGTAATATATATATAATGAATTATATGTAATAGAGATGTATTATATATATAATATATTATATGTAATATATATAATATATGTAATATACATATAATATATTATATGTAATATATATATGTAACATAATATATGTAATATATATAATATATCCTTTGTATATATATATTATATGTAATATATATACAATAATATATATATGCAATAATAATATATTATATGTAATATATATACAATATATTATATATAATAGATATATAATATATTATATGTAATCTCTATGTAATATATTATATATAGTATATTATATGCAATATATATAAATATACGATATATATACATAATTTATTCTATGTAATTTATATCTAATATATTATATGTAATATATATATACAATATATATAATACATTATATTTAATATATATACACAATACATAATACATTAGATGTCATAATATATTTGTAATATATTATATGTAATATATTATATGTAATATATAATAAATTTATGTAATCTCTATGCATAATATATTATATGAAATATATATTTCAAGTAATATATATATAATATATTATGTGTATTTATATATATATATTATATTTTATTTTATTTTATTTATTTTATATATATATTATATTTAATCAAACATATTATATGTAATATATAAAATAAATTATATGTAACCTATATATTATATGTAAATCTAATATATTATATGTAATATATAATATATTATATGTATTATATATATAATATATGTATATAATATATATATATTATCTGTAATATATATATAATATATATAATATATATGCAATTTATTATATGTTATATATATATATAATATATTATATATAATATATATATATATGTAATATTAAATTTATATATATTATATGTAATATATATAATATATTATATGTAATATATCTGTAATATATGTAATATATATGTAATATATTCTTTGTAATATATATATAGCATAGTATATGCAATATATATATATATAAATATATTTATGTAATATATGCAATGTATTATATGTAATATATATATATATAATATATTATATTAAATATATATATTATATGTAATATATATATAATATATTACATGTATATATATATAATATATATAATATATTATATGTTATATATATATTTATATGTAATATATATACAA